CAATGCCAAATGTGACATTATTGAGCCACATCATTCTTGTTGGTACAATGCATCAAGTGCACCCCCTACTTATGTACAACAATTAGTGCATAGAGTACAACTAAGTATTGCATAAAAACTAATAATAGAAAAAAGACAAAACCCAAGTGGAGTAAAAGAAAAGGAAAACTTAAATGACCAAAAAGACAAATATTTTCTTGAATAATTTCAAGATATAAAGCAAACCATATATTTGCCTTGTAAAGGGGAAAGAGAGAAATCATTCACAACTTTACTTCCTTTTTACATTTGTCATATATATATATATATATAGACTTAGGATCATGTGAGACCAATGCTTTTTCGTGAGACCCGTAAGACCAATTCTCAACCATTGGATTAAATCTACAATCTAACAATCTGAACCCTCATAAACGCCACGAGACTTCTCAATAATCACAAAATTGTCACCGTGCAACTTTAGACTATTAAATCATTAGCTTATAAAGTTGATCAATGAACATAAATTGGTATTATGGGTCTCACAAAAAATATTTGGTCTCACGTAAATCCAACCATATATATATATATATATATATATATATATAGGGTTGGATTCACGTGAGACCAAAAGTTTTTCGTGAGACTCGTAAGACCAATTTATGTTCATTGATCAACTTTTTAAGTTAATGATCTAATAGTCTAACGTTGCACGGTGACAATTTTGTAATTATTGAGAAGTCTCGTGGTGTTTATGAATGTTCAGATCTGACGATTGTAAATTTAATCCAAGGGTTGAGAATTGGTCTCACGTGATCCCAAGTCTATATATATATAAGGTTAGGTTCACGTGAGACCAGTCTGTTTTCGTGAAACATGTGAGACCACTTTTTTACACTTGAAATTTCACAGCAAAACGTTGTGAACGTAAAAGAAAGCCGAACATTCACAACAAAAACACGGTGAAGTTTATCTTCACAACGTATTACTGTGAAGTTTCAAGTTGTAAAAATTAGTGACGTATGTTCTATCGTATTCGTATTCAAAATAACCACCGAAAATCGGCTAACATTGCTCATTTATGGATTTTTTTTGTGTTATAACACGTTTTATGAGTAATTTACGAAAAAAATTCATTATAATGATTAAAAAAATTATTAATGGAAAACAGAATAAATTGTATCAAAATATAATAAGCTTTCATTTTTATTCTGTGTTTTAAGAAACCATGACTAAAAACTTCTCATTCAAGGAAATCAAAATGGAATCCAACTTAGGGATCCATTAAGCCATGTATCAGTAAAATTGTCTGTATAAATATATTTGTCTGTTTGAGGGACAGGAAACCGACAGATTTGAGGTAGGTAAAAAGAGGGTTCGTTTGTTTCTGGTGTTACATTGTTTTAGGTGAGGGACAAGTGAGGGATCGTGGCTTATTCTATATAGTCATTTTAGTTTAACGGCTTAACGATTAAGTCGTAAAGGAATACTCACTATATGTGAACAAATAAGCTCTCCAAATCATTAAGCTCATTATTGTATTCTTATTTTAAAAACATGAATTTGACCACCATTTCAAAATAATAGGTTCAATTTATAATTTTCAATAAAAAATAAAAAGAAAATGTAATAATAAATATATAATACCTGCAAATGCTGCTACAGTCTTCATAGCCTTTCTCTTGTCTTTATCATCATTCAATTCCAACTTCAATATAAACTTCTGAAAATTTCAATAAACTTTTTACACATGTCTGAATGAAGCCCATAAATCATTAATATTATTCATTTAATATATATATTATATACACATAGGATTGAGTTCACGTGAGATTAAGGGTTTTTCGTGAAACCGGTAAGACCAATTTATGTTCATTGATCAAATTTATAAGCTAATGATCTAATGGTCTAAAGTTGCACGATGACAATTTTGTGATTATTGAGAAATTTCATGGCGTTTATGAATGTTTAGATTGTCAGATTATAAATTTAATACAAGGGTTGAAAAATTGGTCTTACGGATCTCACGAAAAACCATTGATCTCACATGATCTCAAGTCTATATATATATATATATATATATATATATATATATATAGATAAAGTTCACTTTTATAAATGATTTGTGGTTTCTAAGAATGATAGGTTAATTAATAGTCATATGAAAAGCATCTTTTTTATAAAATTGCGTAACGTTTTCCATTGTCATTGTAAGGTTTATTTACCGTTAGATAAAAAGTACATTTCATAATCCTTTTAGGGATCGATGATCATCGTTCATCAACACCAATAATATATAAAATAATCCCCCTCTCTCTTTCTACACACACATATATATATATATATATATATATAGGGTTGGGTTCACGTGAGACCAGTCTGTTTTCGTGAGACCCGTGAGACCACATTTTTACACGTAAACTTCACAGCAAAAACACTGTGAAGGTTTAAAAAAATCGAACCTTCACAGCAAAAACACTGTGAAGGTTTTAAAAAGTCACCTTCACAACATTTTTGCTGT